GAAAACGACGTCCTGGCCCGGCTCTTCCGCGCCGAGGCACGGTTCATCACCAAGGGCCGTGCGTATTCTCCCAGGCGAGGACCTTTGAAGAACCTCTCCTCGCAGCGGAGAATAACGGGCGGATGTTGCACAAATTGTGCAAGTTGTTCGGACGAAATGGGAGTTCACAACTCACAACTCACAACTTCTAGAGTATGCTTCAATATGTAAGGCTTACCAGTATCATTCTACTATAATGAGCGTGATCATGTCACAACCTGTAGGAGAGATCCTTCCAGCGTATCGTTTCTCGGGCATCCTCTAGGTGCTAATAGTGAGGACAGTACCGCGTACTAAGGTGTGCAGGTGTTGACTAAGCCCCATGTAAACAAGGTGAGCCCGCGGACCCAAAAGCAAAAAGAAGTGCGCAACCCAGGAAAAATACGCAAAGACACATTAGCAGGCCAAAACGAAGCATCAGCCCCCTCCAGGCTTTGTGGCAACCATGATATTTCAAGCATCGCGGTTCTGGTGCGCATCCGTCCACCCCCGTCTGCCATGCACACCCCCGTCCACCCCTTGGTCAGCTTTGAAAGCCCTCCAAAACGGTCATAAAACGATTGCAACATGGCTTCTAACAGTTAACAACCCTTCCAGGAAGCGTGGAGCAGCATCAGCTCCCTCCATGCTTCGTTCCAACCATGAAATTTGAAGCATTGCGGTTCTGGCATGCAACCATCCTGCCGTTTCTGCAATGACTTGGGCTGTCTTCGGCATACACCGCACACATTCTGGACACCCAAGACCGTCATATAGGCCGCGCCAGACAGTTCCACTCGCGCAATAACGTTCTTCCGCGAGGCATGGAGAAGCATTAGCCCCCCCATGCTTTGTCAAGTTCTACTTAGCATCCATCTTCCTCCACAGCCCCGTCACGCCCGCCCACCCTCCCATCTCCATCCATAGCCCCGTCCACACCCATCTTCCGTCCACGAAAATGCTTGCTTCGTCTCGCTCTGCCCCCCACGAACGACTAAACTAAACTAAACGAAAACCCAAGCATCGGAGATTCTTTTGGGAACAGCGCGCGCATGCGTACCGCTGTGCCAGCGCGACAGTGCATCACGCGCGGTAAATGCTTTCGGGTCATTCGTCGTCTAGTGTTTAGTTTTTTCGCATAGATTTCCGGTGGCGTGCATCGTTGGCATGATCAGGGCGTCGATATGGCGGAGATATCCCAGGAGGAGAGGATTTGTCGTTGCTTTTCTCGAACAAACCTTTGCGGGCTTCGACCTTAAGAATTTACACCGGCATAGACCCTAGATAGAAAGATCGTTGCAGCAGAAAACAAGACGGTTCCCTTTTTAGTCGGGTTTGGAGGTTGGATGTATTCTATTTATATATATATATATATATCCAGTGGCTGTTTTCAATCTCTGCAGCTAGTCTCCAACCCCATTGCAACATGGCTTCTGACAACCGTTCCAGGAAGCATGGAGCTTCCATCCACAGCTCCGTCCACGCCCGCGCACCTCCCGTATTGCGCCCCTCCCTGTTCCATCCACAGCCCCGTCCACACCCATCTTCCGTCCACGACAACGCTTGCTTTGTCTCGCTCTTCCGCGGCACTAGCGACTAAACGAGAACCCAAGCATCGCAGATGCTTTTGAAAAAATTCACACCTGCCAGAGTGGGAACAGCAACTTGAACTGGCTTGGGCTGCAGTTCAGGCTCAACGGGTGGGAAATTTCAAGAGTGAAGCTTCCATGGTTATCACTCACCTACTTCTCCAAACATCTCCCTTTCAGGATACTTACAGTATAATACATCTTAACGCTGATACTCAAAAGAAACCAAAAAACAGTGTCCACAGAAGGGCATCCTCGTGCATCGCCCGGATGTAGGATCATCTTCCAGGCCGAAAGTCTTCTTTCAGTCTCTCTTCTGGTTGCTTCAACTTTTGGAAACTTCCATACCTTAAGCCTTGCATGCACACCTACACATAATGACATGGAAAGTTACCACAACAAGATCTCACAGTTGGAACCGGACTTTGCTGAATTCATCGTGGTCGCTGCCCACTCGCCCGAATCCGTTCGGTCTCCTCTTTGGGCCAAAGATTGAGATCGCCGCCATTTTTCCGCCACAAGCTTTGGTACCTGGGAGGGGTCTCCCACAGGTCTCCCAACGCAGGAAACGCTATGAACCAAAGCAAACACCGAAGCATCCAGACCAAGAGGGCTACAACTGGCCCAGAAAGGCATGGGAGAATGTCCGCAAACATGAGAAGCTCCGAAAATCTTGCCTCAAGATTCACATCATCATTTGGTTTGTGTTCCTTCTCCCAGTCAATGGGGAGTGGTTAGAAACCCTCCAAGCATGGGTCCAGTGATTCAGTTCCCCTTGAACAATGCAAGTTTATGTAAAAAACATGCCTTGGCCTGATCCGCAAAATGTGACCCGACCAAAAGCACCACGTCGGCAGGAACTTGGTGCCTGATCTGACACTACAGCGCATGTGTTCTGATCTGACACTAGTCAACCTGATCTCTCAGCTTCTCCAATGCAACCCGCTCCATCCAAACTGCCCAGATGCATCACATCCCCTCCGGGGAAGGCCGTGCCCATCTCCGAGATCGACCTTTGGGCGGAGAGGCGGAGCACCGGCAGAGGCTGGGTCGAGGCCATCGCTGCGGGTCGGTTGGAGGCCATTGCTATTTGGGGTCGAACGGCTTCTTTTTTTTGCCAATACTGAGTCTCAGCATCGAGAAGGATGCTTGGGCGCTTGGCTTTTGGATTATATTGCTCGATTTGGCGCCGCCCTCAAAATTGCGTCATTCTGAAAATGATCTCCATCATATTGAGTATGACTATGCAGTGCATGAATGTCGTCGTTAGACTTGAACACCGAATCTGACGCGGTCTTCCAACTCTACGTTTCCCTATATGTTTGGGCTCGGCGCTGTTGTTTGGGTCGAACGGCTTGGGGCAAGTAATTGCTATTTGAGGGTCGAAAGGTCCAGTCGGGCTGTTTGGAGCTGGGTGACATTGGTCGAAGTGCTCCCAAACGGAGGCATCGGTGCTGAAATGGGTGGGTTGGTGGGACAATTAAGGTGGGGAGGAGACAAAGCTCGTGGAATTGCAATTCTGCGTTTTTGGTGTACGGACATGGGGTTGCATTAGTGAGTTCCCTTTTGCCGGCTCATGAAACCTCGTGTCAGTCCGCCATCTCAACCATCATAGAGTGTTTGACCCTCAGTTCCAGCTGTGAACAGGCCAAGCACATGAACGACTGGTTCAGAACCTGGTCAAACCAGGAATTGTCTCTTCTGATTCAACCTTTTTGGTCAAATTCGTCTCTTCACACCCCTGATCCTCCTTTTCTGCCTGGCCTGAAGTCCTGATGGACTGCCTGGTTCACTGAAGGCAAATGAGGAATTGCCATCGATCCCATGGCCAGAGCGGGCGAAGAAGGAGCGGCGTCGGGACCGGACAGCGGCGAGCCGGACCTACGGAGGGCCTGACGGCAGCTGTTCGGATTGAGATGAAACACAAAGCTACATAGGGAGGTGTGTATGGGTTCCCGTGCGACCATGAGAGGGGGGGCCCTTTGAGAAATATCTCCAATCTCCTGGCTTCAGTGGAGAGATTCATTGAAGCCATGTACATGGCTTCTTGGTCGCTACTACAGCATGTTTCTTGGCAACGAAGTGATTAAGAGACATACAGAGTGTTGGGACCTCTTTTTTAATGTCCTTTGGAACCTCTTTCTGCGTGCGATGAGAAAAACCAACACCTGGATTTCAAGGCACACCGAAGCTGAAGCGTCTCAACCCCTCCAAGGTTCTGAAGCCGAAGCTGCGCACAGAGAAGGTGTGGGATCCAATCATACCCAGGTGTGGCCAAGAGGGGATCCTGAAATCCTGTAGCCATCTGCTCTTACTCAAAACGCTCCTATATAGTGCATGGCTTTTCAATGTGGAGAATTTGACGTCTCTTTTCGATATGTCTCATATGACTAGAGGTTCAAACACAAATACGCCAAAAAAGAACCAAATACTCCGGCGTGAAGAAACTCAGTTGACCAAACCGCCAAGGTGTTTGTGAACTCTCATGTGTCATGGGATGTCAAGACTCTGGGAGCAACGTTTTGGGATTGATATAGATTCATTCAGGGATCACGAAAATGAGATTTGACATGCTGATGAACGCCTTGTGGTTGAAAACAGCTACTTCACTTTTCTGTCACCCCCAGCTGTTTTGGTTGTCAGTATTCAGGTGGCTGAAGTGGGTCCAAACAGGCGTTTGATCATGTTTGCTCACGGTGCGGCACACTCAATGTCTTGTTCATGCACCGTCCATGAGCTGTCCATGCACCTTGTTCTTTTCTACAACACATCACAGCGCAGGGGCCTCTCATCTTCGTGAAGCACCCAAATTGAGGCCAGCACATCTTCCAAACTAAGATTTGCAGGTGGCGCCGCCGCACCCTTTTTTTCCGTCTCTGGTCGACCGCTTCACATGCCAGGGCGTAAAAGAAAACACTGAAATGACGCGAGACCGGTGTGGATCGAACCCATCAAGATCACTGTGATCACTGCCTTGAGCAAGGAAAACGAGTTTCAATGGGAACGTTTTTTATGTTGGGTCACCAACCAATAACAATTGTTTCAACAACGAATTCATCCCGTTCCTCATGCTTGCAAAAACCAAGTGATCAGTTGCTGTGCAAGCTATATACCCACCTGGATGTATCCTGGACCACCCAAAAATTGACGCCTGCAACTTACGGCTAGTGAACATGGTCAGCCCAAGTTCTTGGGAAAAAATCCAAGCGGGTGAAAAATCTTCAGGCACTAGTCTTCGGGGAAGAACACCCCGAAATATGCCTGAATCTCTCCAGCATCAGTGCAACTGAATTTGACGGCTGGTCACGATACCTGTTGGTGTCGTACCTATATCGATCTTGTTTGGGTCCGCATGCAACTTAATGGTCGATCTTCAGCTGTCACACTTTATGTCATTCAGAGCTTTCGATCGGGGGAAGTCGATCCACCTCTAAAACACCCGAAACCGCGCGGACACATCACGTGCCAGGTCCTCATGTCCCACTGCTTCCCACTTTGGGGGCTGCTTGGGCAGTCAGCTGGCGTGCCACCGTGCGAGCATATTCATAAAGCTGGTAATCCAAGTCATTGGCTTGCCTGAGAAATGCTGCCTCTTCAGGGCTGAAGACCTGAGATTCAGCAAGAGATGAGGATAGTAAAGTTTGGAGGAGCATTAGCAGTCATGAGTCATGGCTGCCCCGGCTATACTAATACCCTGTCACACTGTACCACTACGAGGCCGAAATCCATCCACCCCCAACCCTTTGCTCCAAGGTAGAAAACTCGGTTGTTGAAAAATTTCAATGAAAGGATTTTGCATCAAAATCTTGACATATGTTGAGGCCATATACAAGAGGTTTTGATTGGACAGAAACTGAAAACGTCTATATATATTTCAGCAGTTATTGAAAGGATTCTACAGGGGGGTTGTAATCGGAAATCAACCAAGCATGTCATTGTTTTTGAGAAAGGTTTTGACATGGACTGTTATCACTCGTCAATAGTTTGCTTGAATCTAACCCGTGATCAAGGGGAGCATTACTTGCAAACACAACTAAAACCAATATGTAGGTCCATTGGATCTACAAAAGATCTTGACAAAGGCTGTTGCAAATGAAGACATTGATTCAATTTTACAATCAATGTTGCGTGCATTCTGTGTGAAAAAGTAAGGTTTTAAGTTTTAAGTGGACAAACTGCAAACCGATACCTCAATTGGCTGCAGTTTTGTTTGCCGATGCTTTTTATGTTTATTTGTAGGGGGAAGTCAAAACCTCGAGAAACATATTTGCAATGCTGTGCAACGCATCCTTCGAACCGCGTGGGGGTGACCAGGTGTTCCGTTTGGAAACGAAAAGATCTTTGGGGCACGCACATGAACGGAACACCCATGGTTCTTCTTTGGGTGATGCTCATCACGCGTATCGGCTGCCTTTCGTCTTCAAATCTGAAAAGCATCCGATCATTCTGGATCCTTGGAGTCAAAGGAGCATTCTTGGGGATGCGATGCCAATGCGAGTGCCAAGGATTTTGCTTCAGGTCCACATCCTTGGTCACCCGTGCATCTTGAGACCACCTGGGCTTCCCTAACACCAGCTACTGATTGTTGCTGTCACGAACTCTGTGTTTACAAATGTCTGACGCGCAGTTCTGTGCGTAATAGATGTAATAAGGAAAAAGAGTTTACCCGCCGTAAGGCAGTGGTATCCATCTTGTTCGACCCTCAAAATCAGGGATGAAGTCTAGGACCGGGGACTATGGGGATACGGATGCCCTTGGTGAAAAGGAAGGCCCAACACACCTTGGCTTTCTGGGTCTTCTCCTTTTTGGGTGGGGCATCTGCGGCATATGCCGCACCATTCGAAGCTCCAACTCTTGAGGATCCATCTCGTTCCGTCCATCTGGGGTGGCTCTCTGGCGGATCTCGTTCGCTCTCGGGCGCCCAAACCATCTCGGTTCCAATCGAGAAGTCCCCAACAGAATCAGTTGAACTTATCTTCCAGCAGCCGAGAACTGTAACAATGAATGGAACGAGACAGTGGGTCAACTTCCAGTATGCAATACCAAGGGATGTTCTTAGATGGCAGCAGTATCCCAAGTATGAGGTCCTTTTTTGACACCGGTGGCACTCTTGGAAGGATATCGGGGCCAGGTCAAACCCACACGTCCCTGTTCAGAGTCCATTTTGCCGTTCCCGACATGAACAAGGGCTGGTCTGTTCGCTTGTCTCTTTTGGGGTGACCCAAACCGCTCGGTTCTGACCAACAAAGCACTTCTGAGTGGGGTGCCTCTCTACAAACACTCACACAAACACATCCTTTCCAGGAGGGCTTGGACACAACACCTAAACGCAGCTTCTTGCCACTCCGGATCATGTGCACCACATCCCCACCCACTTCCAGGCTAGACGAGACGGAGCACACTCAAATAGACTCACAAACCTGAGGCTCCCATCCGAAGATGGCACGCAGCTGCGGAAGATGTTCTTGAAGTTCCTCCATGATCAGAACCACATCTAGCTTGGAGACGACCCCTGTGGCACCGAGTCCCACGATGATCGCCGGTCGGCGATCAAAGTCGACATCCATCCCAACAGTCACCCCGAAAGCTGCCTGAGGCAAGCAGCTCACCAAACTCTACAGCTCATCTACAACTCTACAGTCACCACATCTGCGACTCTTCGACTCTCTTGAAGAACTCTCTTTCTCTTTCTACATCTTTCTACCACTTCTTGCCCACCCAAGGTGTTCCGCATGCGTTCATCGCCTTTGGCTCTCTCCAAGTGAGCCATACTCATCCCTCCCGGCGGCTGATCGTAAGCGCCACTCAAGGTTCGAACGGCAAAGTTGTCCAAGTGTTGGTAGGTGTCGAAGGGCGGGAGGCAGAAATGGAAGGCAAGGTTCCTGTTTTGAGCACTGGAACCTTGAAAGCTATTCTGTGGCCCTTTTGCCCGGTTGAATCGGGATGTCCGTGTACAAGAACTACACACGTCACAGGGATGGCGAAACGTCCGAATCCCTGGTCCGCATGCACGTTGGACAGGGGAGCCTGCCGTTGTTGAGATGAGTCTCCATTGCCAAGTACCCTGCTCCCAGCCCATCATCCTTTCTGTCGGACTGTCGGATCCTCAAATTGATGTCTATAGGTCGAAACCCTGCACCACCTGAGACGGTAGATACGAAATGATACGAATCATTTGCGGGAAGACACGGTGGCATTGGTGAGTCTGGAGCACACTCATTCTGATATGCTGATAAGCTAGTCCACCACGACTGACAGTTTGGGATGACACTCCTGGATGTATGTAAAAACAGCACACATCCAAAACATATTATGTTTACAAATGAACATATCATTTGTACAATGACCCCTTTGACGAGCCCCAAACCCACCTTCATCCATCTGGCGAGAAGACTCCGAAACGACGAACTCTTGCGCCGAAACTGGTCCTGGGCACCACTCGGCTGCGGAGAGCTTGCAACATCAGGCCCTTCTCCAGTTGATTCCCGATCAAGGTCGATTTGATGCCCGCCACCGGATCCCGCAACATTAACCCAAAGAGCATCCTCCTGGACGAGAGAAGCAAAAACATAGATAATCGAAACGCTTCTATATAAATTTAAAGCTTAAATGAAAGAGCATGTTTGCCAGGGAGATTGGACGATATTCCATTTTTGCGCTGCCAAACAAGCTTGCGAGGATGCTTCCCTTTGTTCGTTCCACTGGTCTCGGGTGCCCCGCGTGCCCTCTGCTCACCGCTCGTCTCTGAACGCTGCACTCCTGCCTTTCACCCAAGCAGGTGAGATCTTCCTCGTCCAGGGACCGCTCCACTGCCGTGAAGGTGTATTGCATGCTCTGCAAACGCTTCAAGCAGCCAATGCGAAACTGCGCTGGTGTCGAACAGCCGTCGGGCATGAGGTTGCAATTGTCTTTGGCCGGAGAGACCTTCAGAAGGAGAGGACGAAACACTTCATGGCTTTAATTGTTGAAAAAATAAAAGGGCACCCTGCCAGCCAGCCAGCTCAGAGCTGCTAAATCATCGGCATCCAATGCAAAAAGAAACAAAACAAAAGGGTTCCTGGATCATGGGTGGAGGAACCAAATGTTGATGGGTCTCTTTGGTCCCTCTGGTCACTTCTGTGAGAGGCAAACAACATGGTGATAAGCTGGGGGATCACCAAGCAGCTCCACTTCTACTTGTTGGTTGCCTCTTCCCAAAAGAGGAGGAGATCCAGGAGAGCTGATCCGGACATTCCACAAAACTAGAAGTCAGGATCTTTTCAGCCTCCCTTGATTCACCCGGCACCTTCAAATCCTTTAATTCTCCTGGAAACAAAGCCCTCCGTTTTCATCCTCCACTCCACCTTCATCTGTCCCCCGCCTTCTCTCCATGCGCACGAGCCAGATCGCAGATGGTGGTGCCCCCATAGCTGTGCAAATGGATCCACACAATCCGTGGATCTTGCAAATTCCCCGGCTCCCGCGAGCCGGCACGCTCGCTGGAGCCCGACTCGGTGGACGGGATGACGTAAAACTCACCCCCATGGATTTATTAATCAAATATCACTGAGTGGCCCCGGGGCCTGGCTTGGTAAGGCCAGAACATACTCAGCTAGCTAACATATTCAATATGACTGGGTTTGAGACAGTACCTGAAGATTGGTGCGATGGCTGTATAAGGCGTTGGCACAGCCAGGGAATTCTCGGTTCAGGGCTGCATTGTAGATATATACTACAAAGATCATGTCCTATAGATTCCAAATAGTCTTCATGATGAATCACCAGTTCAAAAGTGGTGTTCTTTGCGTAATGCAGCCAATTTTGCCTGGGACAACCACTCTGTTCGCTGTTCTTGGTCCAAACAAGACTTGCCTTAAAGAATCCTCATCGGTGGTTCTAAGTGCATGCCCAAGTAACTTCACTTTACAGTGAACATAGGATTCGCTGCAGAGAGGATATCTCTTGTGGACTATATCTGTACATTGCTGAAGAAATGCAATATGTGTGTTATGTCTATCTATGAATGTCGGAGCTGGTCCGATACTTTTTCGAGGCATCGCAGTTGAAAAGAGTCTTTGGTTTCATCATGGCTTGTGTGAGATGGACAGTTTCTACATATATTATATAACCCATAGGTAATGTTTGATCTGATAACAGCATCCAAACTCAGGAGTTGCCATGTTAGATTCGCATTTGTCGATTTCCAATATGGCAGTGGTCGGTACCATGTGCTTCTTACTTCTTGCAATTTGCTTAAGATTTGATGCCAAATGTTACTTTCTCTGTTGATTTCGTTGCCTAAGTAGGTAGTTGCAAATACATTCAGGAGTGGTTCTTGATTTGCTAAGGTGGGTCAAGGTCTCTATCAGGGTGGTTTCAATGGATCAGCTTGGATATTCAGACATTTAAAGATCAAAGTGTACAACGGAATGTTGTGTGACTGATGGAGAGATCTGCCCAGCGACGGCCCCAACAAGACTGACCTGTGGGCTATCCAACAATTGGAGAGGCTTTTCGGGTATTCTTCTTGGTTTGGCTGCATGGGTTTTTCTTAAAGAGCTTTATTCATGTTCCGCAGAAAACCTCGTGGCCTTTCTGAAGTGTGAGCGTTTCCTGCCTTGAGCCCTACCCGCGGAAACCGTCTTCATTCAGTTTATATACCCTGTCCTTCATAAGTCCACACCCAGACATGAACAAACATGAACAAAACATAAGAGAACAAGACGGTCCCAGGACCATGACCCACAATACTGTCAAAAATGACTGAAAAAGACATCTTTGCCCAAACAATATCTGTTTTGCCTGGCTTTCCAGAGCATCTTTGCGCCAAAGCACCAGCACCTTCACCTTTTGGAACTGCACCGCCTTTTCCACACTCGGCCCACTCAGTGGCCCACTCGGCGGCGAAAAAGGCTCTGGCTCTTCACGCGGCCAATCTTCTGACACCGCGACACTGGCAGCACCTCAGCACCGAAAAAGAAATGATTGGACAAGAAGGTTCCGTACCCCTGATTCTCCTCTCCGTTTAAGATCAACTCTTGACCTCAAAATAGGCAAAAGACCCACATGCCCCCAGGTTCAACGCCTGCCTCCGAAGGAACCGGAGACTTTTTTCGGGGGATCAAAGCGAGTCAAAGCCCTTCCAAGAGGTGCACCTCCCTTCCTTCAGCTCCCGAAGAAGCAAGAACCATGCGCAGTTGGAGGGAGGGCGTTTTCATCAAAAACCCGATCGTTGACCCGGTGACACGACGTTGAGTTCAACTCATCCCCGTTGCCTTGGATTTGTGTTGGAGATGCTTTTTGGACTCGGAAGAAAGGAAGGCTGACCCACCCATAAAGGATGATGATCTATGACTCCCAATCGTTGAGTCAGTTGTGGCTCTCACGGCTGCCGTTTTTTCAATTGCAGGACTGAAGAGTGATGACTTCAGAGAATGGGTGCAAAAAATGCGGACAGAAGCATCCTTTACTTGATTTCGCCAATAAATCTGCCAACAAGTGTTGGTGGGCTGTTGGTGGAAAGGACACATGCACTTCCATTTCTACGCTATCCCTTCCGGGTTTCCAGAGGTGAAAGTAGAAACAGAAACGATTCACTGGAGTGGACCAGTAGATTGTTCGTCCAAGGGTTGAGAAAAGAATCCAAAGTGAATCATGTGCATGAGAGATGGTCAAAAGATGTTCACATGTGTCCACACCAAACATAATCACAGGGTCCAGAGTCCAGAAAGTTCTCCAAAGCTGCACCAAGCGTGCACCACTTGCAATGATTTACCCTGAATCCTCTGTACCCCGGGTGGTGCAGGATGCCTGGGCTCCAACAACCGGACCGCCCTGATTGTGTTATAGAAAGCAGTTCGGTTGTGCCTGTACTCGCTAGCCGCTAGCATTCCCATCAGCCCAGGAAATGGAAGAGAGCCCGCTTGCATCCCTCTGTTTGAAAGAAGAGCAGCTACACTGCAGTCTTGAGGACTGGAAACCCTGGGTCTTCAGAGAAGAAAGGACCACAGGAACCCCCCAAAAAGACTTGGTCGATTTTACACCCCAGCGTTTAAGCACTGCTCCCCCCGCTGAAGGTCTCGCGCCTCCAAAGGCCTCCTTCGAACGCCACTCGTCACGCTTGTCACGCTCGTCACCCAGTGAACGCCAGGGGGGTTTGACCAGAAGCGAGGCCAAGGTAAATCCGGCCGCCAGCGCAAGCAGCAAAATGCCTCCAGCGCAAGCAGAGGATGGCGTTTCTTTCATCTTGCATTGCAAATTGTTCTTTTGATCAGTTGACTAACATGAAAGCCGCTAACCATTAAACTCCATGAAAGCTGTAAACCATGCACACAGTGAGAACTTGGTGCATCCCAACGGAACACAACGCCCCCCTGTCTGGAGGACTTCTTCTAAATGGTCTTTCCATGCGAATAACGGATCTATCCGTCGCATATGGTCGGCCATGGCGCGCAAGTGACTTCTACTCACACAGAGAGGTCCTTCAAGGTCGCCCCCACTGAGACTGGGGAGCGACCGGGGAGCGCCGGGAGGCGCCGAGTTGCCAAGTTTATCTCAAAGAATGGGAGACTTGCTCAGCGAAAGACTGGGTCGAGGGGCCTAACAGTAAGGACTTAATTTGGAACGGGCGAAGATATTGAACGGTCTTATAGTCTGATCCTTGTGCCAGGTTCTTCCAAATAAGTTGTGGCTGGAGACCACACAAAGATCCTTAACGACTCAACGATTCATTCCGACACAGCCCTTTTAAGTACGGAAGTCCACATCTCGTCTCGTGCCTCCCTGAAGAAATGCGTTTCAACAAACTTAATCGGATCCACCTATAGTGGCGTGCAGGATCGTCAACATTGGTCCCGCCTTTCCCAAGTTTCCATTCATCTTGTGACACGTCATCTTCTTCACCAGCCTCTTCATCAAGAATCAGCGCCTAGCCGAGGCAGCCAATTCGCTTCAGTAGAAAGTAAAGTATTATATATATATGGACGCCCCCCTCCCATGATCTACCTACAGCTGCTTTCTGTGGGCCTGCCCATACAGAAGCATTGTTTTTGACCTTCAGAAATCAGTGCTTCTCATTAGCTGACGACTACAAATGCATGTTCAAAAAGACCTGCTGTTTTTAAAGAGGGCGGGGGACTGTGGGTGTCCCATTTTTTCTAATTTAACGGTTTTTTAATGAGCTCATCAGCTCATCTCAACAAACAACTCAACAGACCTGATTGTTCAAAAAAAATTATCATAAACAAAGTCACAAAAAGGACAAGGTCTATTCATACAATTCATAATTCATACAAAAATGTTTGCGGTTATTTTGTTAATTTATTTTGTTCACGACAAAACCCCCCAAAAAGAACAAGATTGATTCATGGAACGTATAGATTTGAAGATTGTCCTCTGAATAACTATGTCACAAATATATATATATATGAATATATTGCATTTTTTTGACAAAGATGCTTTTGGATCAGATGTTTGTCAGATGACCGGGCGCCAAATGCTTTGCAACAAACTGAATACTTTAAAATTGGCGATGGTAAAAGTACTGATTGTTGGACTACTGGAGGAGTAGGTCAAGAGATGCAGTTGAACTATATTTCTAAATAGCGGTGTAAGGATTTGCAATACTGTTGCTGGTTATTTAGCAATCAATGGATGAAGGAATGGAACAGATATACAAACTATCAATGGTGCTAGTCAAATATTTCCTGCGGATCGCGAGGGGGGGCCAGGTGGGCCCCAGCCAGGTGGGGGGGGTCGGCCAAGAACATTGCTGAATGTCTGTGTTTTCACTAAATCTTTAGTTCCTTTAAACCGCGCTGATATCGTGTTTTCGGGATGCCCGTGGTCCTCTGTTCTGGAGGTTTTTAAAAGGACATTTATATAGTAACCTATAAATGTAAACGTGCCAAAAATATCCAATTGTTGATCAACAATACTTTTCGGGAACTGTTGTTTTTTGGTGTTTTTTCTTTTGGTTATGTGTTGTGTTTTTTGTTCGCATATGGGTTCTAGTCTCAGATTGACAAAAAAATATGTCCATTATGTGTTTCTTTTAGTTCAAAAAACACAAATAGAGGAAGTATATATTAAAGAAATACAAACTAAAAAACATAAAAACACAAAACAAAACCGAAAAACGAAAATGTTTGTCTGAAACCAAACTTCGCGGAAAAAAACAATGTATATATATATATATTAATATGTATGTATAAGATGTGATTTTTTGTTGTGTTTTTTGTGTTGTTGTTGTTTGTTTTTGGTTTGTGGTTTTCGGTACAACTTGTCTAAAAATAGTAGGCACTTAGCAAGTTTAGATATATGTTATAAAAAGTCCTAAAAAACAGCAGGTTTTTAGCACCAATCCTGTTGAATTCTAAAGATTGTCGTTTACAGTTTTGATTGCAATTAATTTCCATTCAAATTCCTTTTAAATCCTATTGATTTCATATTAATCTATTTACAGTCATCAGTTTGGGTTAGCCCAGTACACTAGAAATCCTGAAAAATACAACTTAAGCCCCTACAATAGTGTCTGCCCTGTTTGGCTCAAATAGAATGTCCCCTACAATCACATCTACGCGTTTCATTGATCATCATCCTTGTTTATGAATTCCCTTTGAACAAATACCTTGTTTCTATTGATTAACTATTGAATTCCCTTCCTCTTGGTTGCTGCTTAAACTATTTAATAAATGTATTTAATTCCATGATTATATCGTATCAAATTAGTTTTGAAAAATCCACAAAGGGGATAGCCCAGTACACTGCAAACCTTGAAGGAGAACACCCACTACATTAATCTCTGTCCCTTTTCGTTTTGATGAATAAAACCCGCTGGATTAATGCCTACATTTGTTTCATTGTTCGATGATATTACCTTCTCAAATGTTGTCTACACTTTGCTCTGGTATGACTTTTGAACAAATACATCTCTGCCATGATGTCTATGCTTGTCATTTGTCTTTTGTATTTCTGAATTCTCTTTTTGAAAACTCCTTGTGTCAACACCTTGTAGTTTTTATTGGTTGCCTATTGAATTCCTTTTGGTTCTTGTTGATTATTCGCTTTGATGTTAGTTGATTACCTTTCGTGTTTGCTTGCTATTTTCTTGCTCAATCCCGTGTTCAATTATATCAAACTATTGCAAAATGTTCTAGTCCACAAGGGGTTAGCCCATCACACTAGAAACCGAACCATAAAGCAAAATGTTACCCCCTACAATCGTGCCTGCCCTGTTCGGCTTCAATTAAAACATCCGCTGGGCTGTTCATGTTTCATCTTTATGTGTGAATTCTCTTTTGGAACGATTCTGGTTGATTTTATTGATTACCTATTGAATTCCTTTTGTTTTTTGCTTGGTATCCTTTTTGCATCATGGGGTAAAAAGCACTCTTGTTTTGACATGAGCACATGATCGACATGATCACTTGGAATCACTTGGACATGACCACTGTCCACCAAAGACCCTTCTTAGCAGCAGAAAATAGGCGCGCAGCTCCTGCTAACGGAGGTTATGAGCCTAAACTGCACAGGTGGCTTGTGGCTGTAGCAAGTCCACCTCACAGTTGTGAGTTGTTGGTCCCCGTGGCCAACAGCTTGAAGAGGAAGTACGCCTTCGAAACGCTCGACCTGAGGACCTGCCAATGGTAGACCGAGGTGCATCTTCGGAAGAACTCCAATCAGCTGGCCATGGAGACCTCTTGGACCTCGATGCAGGAGAAGAGGAGACCTTGGAAGCTGACAGCTGACAGCATGATCAACGGCGAGCAGAGCATGGATGGCGCGCTCGAACCGAAGGACATCGAGGGCGAGGCAAGCCGAGATCGGGGTGATCATTGGACCCAAGTTGCAAGAGACAGTGTCCAACAAGGCATCGGAAAACGACCTCATGCTGAAAGTTTGGGGGCAGAACCGCAACATGGACATCGTGAACGACAAGGTCAACACCGTACTACATGATCATGGTGGGCTGATGCCTGACGGAGGGAAGAACCTTCATCCAGGTGTATGTGGTGGCGGGGTGACCCGACATGACCGTGCCCTACCTTGTGACCTATTTCAGTGTGATTGTGGAGACGGCTGGAGCCGACATGATCGAGCCCTACACATGGGCGGTGGGAAGTCTGATCCCACACATCCCAAGAGTGACCAGACAAGTTGGGGGGTGATCTCTGAGGTGCGACTTCAGCGGCTGGAGCGAGAGTTGCTGGAGCTGAAGGGCAAGTTGCATGGCCAAGAACTGCGACATCAAAAGCACTGTGCATCCTTGTGGCAACAGGCCAATGAACTGTGGGGTAACGGCACAAAGAAAGACATTGAGGAGAACAACATAACACCTCCATGCCTCCGCCACCAGGGCCTAGTCCTCCTGAGGAGAACCGATCCAGAAAGCTGACCTGGGAACTGTGTCAGTTGCGTTGCCGCGACTACCTGATGAAGGCTCTCATCAAGCGGCATTGAAGTGTGGGGATTGGACTCCAATGGTTCTTGTGAGCTTCTTTGCTGGCTCGTGGTGGAATCAACTGATGGAGCATGTGGCTGGCGTCAGATGCTTTGACGAGGCTCACTGTCGAGATTGAGGTGAAGCCCAACGCTTCAAGGCTGGAGAGTTGAGTAGCATCTACGCTCCTGCCCCTTCCATCCTCATTGAAGGCAAGAAGTTATTGCGGCTCGCAAACTCACGGCAGGCGCAATCATGCTTGAGGTACTGAAGAAGTACCAACCTGGAGGCCTGTCTGAGAAGAGCTCGCTCCTCAAGAGCCTGCAGTCACCAGCGCCAGCAACCAATGCCACGGACGCCATAGAGAAACTCCGTGCGTGGCACAGAAACATCACCCGTGCGGGAGAGCTTGGCGTCACCCTTCCTGATCCAGTCCTGCAAGCGCATGCATTGGACGCTGTTGTCAAAACAGTCCTAACGCAGGAAGCGCAGGTATCGTTTCGCGTCCAAACATGGAAACATCAGCAGGGGCTGGACGTAAAGCCCACTCAAAGCATCGTGAATCAGTTCTCACTCCTGTAGCAAGCAGAGATGACAACCATCTCATTGACAAAGGATGGCAGTGATGTGAAGGTGAAACAATTGCAAACCCCATCGACTCAGCCGCCCACGGTGGGAACAAAACCATGTAAGTTTTGGGCAACATCTTCAGGCCGCTCACGTGGCGCTCGGTGCAAGTTTGGCCATTCCTGGGAGGGGGTGGAAGACAAGACATCGAGGTGTTGGGAGTGTTCAAGCCTGGAGCATCGAAAAAATGCCTGCCCGGGGTGGACAAAGCTGACAAGGTGGAGGAGATGGCAAGAAAGAAAATCTCAGGAGAACCCGAAGGGCAAGTCCAAGGGCACTGGAGGCAAAGGCAAACCTCAGATCAACCACCTGCAATGCAAGGTGGGGAGGGAGGGAGCATCTGTGGAAAAAGGCAATGGAGGTGGAACCTCAGAACCTCAACCCTGAAGAGCTCTACCAGTTCGACGAGCACTACGGAGGCTTCGGATGGGGGAGCAGGAGGAACTGAAAAGCAACTCCTGGTGGTCACTTCACTGCTTCGATCACTTCGTGCTCCTCAACCAGCAATTCGGGCACTGATTGCGAAAGTCAATCATGGGGCACAGGGAGTGCTGCTGGACTCAGGCGCAACACACATCTTGAGGGCTCCTCGTTCTGAAGGAGAATGGATGGGTGCTCATGAAACCATCGTGCGGACTGCAACACGAAAGTGTGTCTTGAAACAGACTGAAAGTGGAGTGCTCCTGTCGAAGGATGAAGTGGCGCCCATCATTCCACTTGGAGAAGTCGTGGGGCAAGGTGGCACCATCGATTGGAAACCTGGGCAGTGTCGTCTGAGGCATCCTCAAGCGGGCACTCTGAAAGTCAACGTGGTGGCCAACTGTCCCTACATCTCACTGGAAGATGGGGAGGCTGTTGGTTGCAATGGCAGCTCAACATGGAGACATCACATCGGCGTTCTTGCAGGCACCGAAACGATCAACTGCCCACAAGGTGACACTCATCAAGCCTCCTCATGTGGTGACGCAACTAGGTATAGTTCCTGAAGCGTGTCTGGTGCTTTGTATGGGCTGAGAGAGTCACCAGAAGACTGGTCACATCACCGAAACCTGATCAAGCTGCAGGACGCAGTGTGGTTGTGCAACGGTGGTGAGCGTCACTTGGAACAGTCTGCCGAGAGCAACATTTGGTACATCCTGGACAAGGAGGACAACATCCAGGGATATGTTGCAACATACGTAGACGACATCATCTCTGTTGGCCCGGAGCTTGAGATCAATGCGGCATTGCAGTGTGTTGAGACCTTGTGGAAATGTTCGACGCGTGAGGTTCTCTCCAAGCAGGGTGATCGATTGAAATTCTGTGGCTTTCAGATTGAGAGGACAGGCAATGGATACCACCTCGACCAGAAGGAGTACATCTTGGATTTGTGCTCAAAGAAGGGCGTGGTGGAGTGCGTGAAGTGGAAGGGAGTTGCATTCAATGATGGAGAAGATGAACAACTTGACATCCCAACCCTTCGAGAGGCACAAGGTTTAGTGGGGGAATTACAATGGCTTTCGGGGAGCACACGGCCTGACATCTCCCACGCAACAGGTGTCCTTAGTCGGCAGATGCATCGCAAACCGGCAGAGGTTGCACTGCAAGCCAAGATCATCTTGGGCTACTTGAAAGCAACAGCGGACTGGGGGCTACACTAAGAAAAGTGTGATGGTGCAAATTCATTTGGGGACATGGGTGAGTTGAAGTTTCCCAAGGGCTTGAACCATGTGGAAGCCTACTCCGATGCCTCCTATGCCCCCATTGGTGAGCAGTACAAGTCTGCGCAAGGCACAATCATTGCGGTGGCTGGGTGTGCAGTACTCTGGTCGTCTTCGAGGCAGCCATTTGTCACTGGATCCACGGCAGAAGCAGAGCTCTTGAGCTACATGGAATGCCATCAACAGGCAGAAGGAGTGGCAGCACTGCTTGAATGCTTGACAAGGTCTGAAGTGCAGAGGTGCATCTATGGTGACAATCGCAGTGCTTTGAGTCTCTGCACGGGCGACGTTGGTTCTTGGAGAACACGCCATTTGCGCCTTCGCGCAGCTGGCCTGAGATCTGCGGTGGCATGTCCGTCGAGTGGCTAGGCAGTGCATCATGTGACAGGAACTGAGCTTCCTGCGGGTGGCTCGATTCAGGGCGCGGCCTTCGAAACATTTTGCGCGCAGGTGGGCGTGAAGTCACCGAAGATCAAGATGGTCAAAACATTGCAGACCAGGGAGCGTGACCAAGAAGATGATGGCCAGATCCTGAAAGCGGATTGGCGGTGATCGTTGCAGCGCTGATCTTTGTGCGTCCGGTGAAGCTGACGACAGCATTGGATGTAGCTGCAGCGTGGTTGATGATCCTTGGCGCGACACTTCTGAGAAAGATTGGAAAAAGATGGGGGAAGGAAGATGAACTCTAAAGGGCACGAAATCCACTGTGAGGGCCCAAGATGAACCCACAGTGAAAGAAGAAAAGTCAAGATCAGGAAGGGCCCAAAATGAACCTCCTGCTGGGGACCACCCTCTCGACCTTAGCCCAACGGGCTCCCAGATGGCTGCATCACGTAGCAGGCCACCGTGTGCCATGGTGAAGATGCTGAGAGCTGAGCGACCACGTGCTCGACCAAGTGAGCCATGGTGGCATCCACCGTATCACACGCCGCCGGCGGGATCCTCAGGTCGTTGGCTGATAGTGGAGAACTTCGTGGTGCGTGTACACTGCAAATTTAGATATCAGCGGTGTCATCCAATCCACAGCTCCTATCCGCTTCGAGATGAACAAGTGCTGACTGGTCGTCGAGTCACGATCAAGTACATTGCTGGTGAGCAGCCTGGACGACCCTCGACAACAAAGTCGAGGGCCGCTGGATTGGCTACACCTTCTTGGAGCTCAGAGATCTTGCCAGAGATGCTGAGGTGGCAAGCTACTATGTGGGTGAACGCCGAATTGGTGAGTGGGCTCGAAGGACGGAAACGCTGCCACCACATCTCCATGTGCCCAAGGACATGAGAACTGTCGAAGCTGCTCAGGTCAGGGCACAGAGAATGGAACGAGCGGCAGTGGGGAACAAGCTCGATGGCGGCACCTCCGAAGACTCCGAGCGTGTGGCCTCCTGTGAGATCTACTGCAAAGGCATCAACAGCGCTGGCCTGCCCAAGATCTTCCGCGACTGGAACTGTCGCTTGTGCTGAGTGCCACTGACAATAGCACGCCGTGCTATGTGGCCACGGCCACTACTGGAGCAGCTGCTGGTGGAGAAGACTCAGGCAGTGGCACTATCTCATCGACTTTGCCAACGGCAACGACGGACTTTTCCACCCCTGACTCCACTCTGGCTCAGGACGGAAGCCATGTGAGTCATCAAAGCTCGAGCAGCGGCATGGGCTATGCAAAAGGTGGAGCAGCAGATCGGGGCCGCATTGCAGCGGGAAGCCAGATGTTCACAGCAGGACGTCCTGGGGGGCTAGGCCAAGAGGCAACGAATGCTCTTCAGTCTCTGGCTGAAGCTGATGAACCACCCGCACCGCTGGGTATGCCTCAGCAAGAGTGGGATGAGCTGAGGATTGGACCACGTAATGTTCGTGTGACGGCATCCGACTTCGATAGCGATGAAAGCTATGAGGTCTGTGACCTCTGAAGGGTCTTGAGCTTTTGCCTGAAAAGGTTTTTCTGTGTTGCAGCAAAGCTGCAAGGGGGATGCATTATGGGGACATCCTATGTAAAAAGCGCCTTCTCTAGGAAAGCTAAAGACCTGCTACTGGACCTGTTTGGCAATGCTACCCTTCCTTCAGACACCTTTTCCTTCCACCTTTCAGCAAAAATATCGATATAGTATGATATAATGCAATTGGTCAGAGTAAAAAAACACACAGCGAGTCGATGCCACTTCGTACAAGTTATGCGTCTCCTAACCCGACGGTTTTGGGACCCGAAAAAGATCGAGGGCCGATAGTTCCAACCTCCCCCAACTGCTGGCAGCCTGCGTTTTAACTTTGATCCCCACAGAACCCGCCTGAAAACTTGAAAAAGAAACGGCATGGCCTAAGGAAGGTGTTTTGTTGATGCCGCGGAAGGGCAACAAGAAGTGTTGTTTCGTGAAATCGGATGGAAGGACAAAAAGGACATCTACTCCGAAGATCGGACGAGGCCGTGTCACTCATGCTGTAAATGTCACCTTGTCATTGGCCAAACACAACCCACCGTGACCCCATCCTCAGAACACAACTGAAATGCCCCAACCCCACCTTGTTTTTTTTCCTCCTTGAGCGCTTCTTGCTGAGCTTTGCATGCATGGCACATGGCCACAAACACACCACAAGTGAAGAAGTACCGTTCTACTGTGGGTGTGCGTTTTGTATGCAAAAGTGGCAAATGAACAGATGGACAGATGGAGGGGTTGCAAGAGTTAAAACTGAACGTTAAAGGAACTGCCAGCACAGTGTCTCCTCAAACTCCAGCATGTTCACGGCCATCGACTAGTCTTTTTGGTGTTTTGTTTCACAAATTGTTTTTACAAGCTGCGGGTTTTGTTCATGCTGGATGACCGAACTACAATCCATGCTGAGTCCTGCCAATACCGAAGTCAATGTTGTAGACTCTTGATCGATAAAATCCTGCATATGAAGAGGTCAAATGCATTCGAGATCGTTGAAAGGCACTTGAGCATCAAAATTCGGGAATCTCAAGTGCAGGCCAGAGGATTAGAGCTATCTGAACCACTCATCAAGCTCTGAATATTCCGCTGCAGCTGCTCTGAAAGGAGCACGGTTTTTTCTTTTCTTGTTTGAGGCCTCCTTACTCAGCTCACATGGCCCGCCTCCGAGCTCGGAGCCAACACCAATGCCTCTAAGAATATCACCTGCCCTCTTCAGTGTCCCATGAAGGACCTATACAATGCTGGGAGTGTTGCTTTGGGTCAAGGACAAGGACATAAAATATATAATCATGAATCATAACCCCTGGGAGTTTGCAAATCCGCTGTGCTCTGTTCTTTCCGTCCATCCACTCCCCTCTCCTGAAAAATCCAACCTCGGGAAACATCCATGAAGCGACCAAAAAGAAGTTGCACGTTGGAGCATGTTCGAGCTCGGCGCTCCGACACCTCCGGCTCCCGAGGTCGGGTGTTGAGGTCTGCTGTTGTGCCTCTTCCATTCGGAAGAGGTCGCTCCGACACATCCGATTTGGAGCGACCCTGCGACCCTGCAAATCGAAGAGACCCGGTGCTTCCTCCAGCCAATCTGCAGCGTCGGGGGTCTCCGTTTTCTTTCGTCAGAAATGCGTTGGATAATCTTTAGTAGTCATAAGTATACATAGATAGTACTATATGTATAATCATGCAAATAGCCGCTTGTGGCTTGCAAGTGTCTTGCAGGGCAAGAGCGAAGCAAATGTCAACACCAGTGAAATCAACAGTTGCACAGAAGCAGTACACTCTGACTCACTAACATGGAAGTGGATGGCATGGCCCCTTGGAAGACCATGCTCCTCTACAGTGGGGACACCACGAAGAGGATTGGACTGTGAGGCTTCGTTTGCAAAATAACCTAGCCTGAGCGCAAACAAGTGTGGGACATCATGAACACACAAGATGGTGCCACTCATGGCCCTGCTTAAAGGGACCCAGTTCCTCTCCCCTTGGATCTATGGAGCTCTAAAAAGACTCTTTACTAACAGATCCTGAAATCTAAGTCTTACTTTCTCAAAGGTGTGTCTGACGATTCCAGGTGAGTTATTTAACCAATCCCGAAGCAGTATCTAACTGACTCAACACAATCAAATGCTTGCAATCTACGACATAGCTTTGTCAGTGCTTCATCTTCCCACCCGTCACGTGTCTAATAGACTAGTTGATGACTTAAATCGTTTTCCAACTGAGGACATCCGACCACGACATCCGAACAAATTGTTAAACGCACAGACACATTCCAATACCAACTGCGCGGTAGGTGATCCATGATCCATGTTCCCCTTCCACTCTGGTGATGTTTGTGGCGCCACCCTGCATGTTCCGATGTTGTCGTGCGCTGGTGTGCCAAAATTCGTTTTTCCAAGTCCCAACAAATTTCGGCGCCACCGACACGAAGCCACTTGGACCATATATGGCCTGAAGCAACCAAGGTGCATGGTACCAGATCAACCCCCCTATGATTCCCGAAAGGTCATTGACTACACCCGTCTTACCAGTGCCGAAGGTTCGGCGAAGTGTCTGTCTAAACGGTCGATGAGTTCAAGGCGGTCAATGTACGGAAAAAATTATTCTCTGTCTTCCCGCGGAGCGGGGAAATCGAAGGGTGGTCGTCCAATCCACTGGTTCTAAAAAAAGTGGGATCCGATTATCAGCCCTAACGAACAAGCGATCCGTCTTAGTGTACCGCAACAAGCACACGACCCAGCCCTTAGAAAACGATTCTTCCCTTAGTCCCTGTTGGCAGCGAAACCATGTGCAAAACCTAAGCCCAACGTGGCCACGTCATAAGGTCGCCAAATTGGCCTAAATCGGCCAGGTGGGCTCTCACAATTGCGTTCTCTCCAAACCCGACAAAGAGCTATTTAGCTAGGATTCTGCCCTAGCTGGCTTGAGTCGAGCTGTGCAGATGGAGAGTGATCTATTGAAGAGCATTCTGGAGCGCAACTGTCCTCCACAGATTTCAGCCATTAAAGATGCGGCTTAGAGCAAGTGACTTGTACCGGCTGAGTCAGATTGCTCAACTGCTGGATGACACCTTGTGTCGGTGGTGAGTTCATGCGACTTTCTGCTCGGGCAACAGCTGTCAAGAGTACAGACTACAGAATACATGTTCCTACGAAGCGCATCTCAACTAGCACAAAAGCAGGCTAACCGAATCTAACTGACAAGTTTAAGTTAAACATTAGTTACACGATGTTATTTTGTGGCTAAGTGCTGCCTGACACATGACACATGCTACGGTAAATGATCCGGGAGCTGCTCCAAAACTTGCACCTGCGCAGGAGACACTCCAGGACCACTTATTGCCCTGTCTGACGATGCTGTCAGCTTTGTAAATCGGCGTGCCCCCAACTGTGGTGAGCGGCTTGTGTCGCCGACACCAATTACGACAAAATTTCTTGCCTCTAATGGTCCTCTCAACACCTCGAATCCTATTCCCTGTGTCCTGTGCCAAGAGGGTGCCGCCACCCACAGGGGAACGCGCTAGCGGTTCCCTGGCAGATAAAGAGGACGCTACCACTGACATTTACCTCCACGAGGAAACCGAACAGTCAGGGACAATGGACGCCGATCTCACCCTACTCTCTGAGCAAAGAGCAATGCAGGTAGTGCATCGTTTCCAGAAGCTATCCATGCTCGCACTTGAGCAGCCAGATGAACAACTAGATGAACAACCAGATGCTGCCGCCTGTTGCGCCTCCAACCAGCCTGTATGCCATGCTACCAGGAGTGGCCACTTGCGCGCCTGAGTGTCCAGCTGCGACGCAATCGGCCACGCAGCCTAGGCAACCTTCAGGGCCAGGGTGTGTCGCTGTGGCCAAGGTGTGATTCCTGGGTGGCTCCCGGGCTGGGCTGCCACGTACGGTGCTAGCAGCCGAGGCCTACTTCTTCTTTTCTAGGCTTCCGAAGGCAACGGCCGCCCTCAAACCCCTGGCCGCAAACCTGCAACGCAGCCTTGCCTGGCAAAGCTGCTGCGTGTCACTCTTTTGGCTGCTTTGTTTTTTTCTATTTCTTCGTTTCGCGCTTGTACTGTCCAACTTGCCAGCTGTGTTCCGGGCATGGCTTTCCCGTTGGCGTGGTGTATCTGCTTCGAATGCGCCCAAACAATTGCGATGACCGGACCACAGTGTGGCAAGCCGGGCATTTGTGCGGATGCTACCGTGTCTTTGCGCTGACTGCGCCTTCTTTAACATAGGCGGGAGGCGCCTGAGCCACCGCAGGGTGCAACCTTGGCATTAGCATCTCCACCTTTGTGGGCTTTAGCGCAGGCTTTTTTTCCACGAGTACGGACGCCGTGTGGGCGGAGTGCCCAGGTCATCATTGAAAGGAAAGGAAACACTACATGATGAGGGGGAAAAGAACACAAGCAACCCCAAAACCAAACCAAAGCCCACCAAGAAACCAAACCAGCAAACCAAAACACCACCAAGGGCCAGAGGCCGGTTCCCCCTCATCTATAAGTGTTTCCTCTGTACGAAGGTGAGACAAATGAAATAGCAGAAACTAACGGTGTACTAACTATGGGCCTGAATTCACTACGAAAGTCGGTCGGCGAGGTCAGCGCAAGAGCGGAGTGCAGCGGAGCCAATCAAAGGGGCTTCGCCCCACCCACAAAACTGTGACCAGGAGGGTCACTGCATCGTGTGGCGAAAGTGAAAGTAGGGTGCTTTGCAGGAGCTGCGTTGTTTGTTGTCAGCCGGTCTGATCCTTGCCCAGGGGATTCAGTTGTTGCTCTGCCAAAAATGCCGTGGGAAAGGCCCATCTCGTTGCACAACCCCTTCAACTGATTGCACGAACGAGACGAGAGGCAAATCGATGGTCAGACAGTGGAGGCAGAGGCAAACGAATGGCGCTTGCTGACGAGGGTGATGCCATCCCCCCCCGAAGGGAGGTCACCTTTGCACCCCTTAGCATTCAAGGAGTGCCAAACTCTCTGTTCCAGAAAGAAAGAGAGGTGCTAAAATGCGAGCATTCTCCTGTCGCACGCAAGGCCCGTGTGAAACCAGTGAAACGTCGACCTATCCTAGCATGGTACTTGTGCCTCTTTGTACAGCAATGGTCATGGCGTGGCTGCTGCAAGGAGAACTAAGGTTCTTCCTGGCAACCTTCCATTACCATTCTCTACCACCCGCCTCTTAGGAGCGAAAGCTAAGGCTCTCATTCCTGCAGGCTCACTGACCTTTTGATGGTGAGTCCGAAATGATGGCTTTGCCTGAGCTTTTTGGGCCTGGCCCGCAAAATCGAGACAGGAGAATAGCAGTCCATTCCCACTGTCGTCAGAGTGTGGCCAGTCTAGCATATGGCTTCGTGGAAGTCTTCTCTCCATTGGTCGCTGGTATTTAGCGGCAGGAATCGGAGCCATTGGGGCTTGTCCAATTGCTCGCATTTGTCAAAAGCATTGCCCCGGGCGTAGGTACCTCGCCATGTTGTGCTTTTCCCTTTTTTACGAACTGTTCGAAGCTGCGTGCAGCCTGCAAAAGCACGCCTCGCGATGTAAAGTAGGGATGATGGGATGCAGACTTCTTGCAGCGAGGTACATTTGAGAAAGGCCTCTTGCTCAATGATTCGTAAATTCTGGGGAAGACTGAGTTGTCGTAGCTGTGAGCAGTGCGCGAAAGTTGAGCCCAAAAGTTCATTGACACGCGTTTGG